CCCTAAACTGGCAGAGATGTGTCAAAGGCATATTCAGGGATTGTGGGGATTTAATGGTATAGTATCAATGGTGTAATGGGTGGGTATATGTACAGGATCACATGCTACTGAAACATTGGTACTTGGAATAAAGCATTGTTATAATGTGGCTACATTTCATTGTTTACATTGTTAATATCATAAAGTCAAGAGATGGCAGAACATGTAACACAATCTATGAAAATCTAATTCACAATAGGTAGCAATAGGTACAATAACCTAGGTAACAATAAACTAGGTAACAATAACCTAGTAGTCTTAAAGGAGCCAAGAAAATATTTCTCTCTACTGACTCACCTAACTTCATTCAGATACATACTGCCCCGTGTGGCAGGACAACTTTTATTCCTGCCAAATAAAAGGGCTCTTCTAAGATTCAGGTCACTGATTATTTCTACTATGAAGACTTTTCTGCCCCTGCTCCCCCACCTGGTAGAATCAATTCCACTTGATAGAATCAATAAGAATCACATCTTATCCTTTTTAATCCCTGGTGTAGCCATAGAGCTGAACCTATAGAGTAAACTTACTAAGAATTTGCTAAACAAATGATTAAATGAACAAATAAGTAAATGAAAGAAAAGCTAGATGTGAGGATGCTCTGGATTAAAATTGATCAATAAATACCAGCAATACAACTTTTTTTTTTTTGGTATTCTAGTAGGAAGTCAATTCCTTCCAACCATGAGACTAAAGTGAGTGTGGTGCAATTTGTGTAAGAACATGGACGTGGCAGCAGAGCCCTGGGGAGATGCAAGAAAGCAAGGAGTTGTCTATAGTAAACTATTAATAATAAAGAATCAGGAGATAAACAGATCATCAGAAAAGATCATCTGAGACAACTGTACAAAATCCTATCAGGATAGGACAGGTAGAATTAAAACTGGCTCAAAAATTGACAACTCTCTTATAATACATACTTGAAAGAAGGACCTAGCTAGCCTCTCTGCCTGGCAAACTATCCAAATGCCTGTATTAAGAGTAACTGAGGAAATAGATTTCCTTTCCATTCTTTTTCAAATGACTTTTCTGATACGGGCATTGTTGAATATGCACAAGAGAGAGGCAGAGGTGTGAGTATGGATAGATTTGCATAAGTGTGAATACAGATGACATATATTCATATTTAAGTGATATAATGATAATATTGTGTTGACACCTCTGAGTGAAAACTAATTAATTCAACTATTGAGATGATAATGATTTTTTTCTTAGTTAATACTAAAGTGAAAAAAACCACAGAAATTTCTTTTTAAAAAAAGTAACTGAGAGTATAGATGACATATTACTATAAATTTAGTCTTGGACACTAGGACTGATTTAATTACATTAAAGTATTTGTAAAAAGTTCTGTGGTTTTCTACACATACATGTATGATATAAATCTTTTAATTATAACCATCTTTCTGGACTGTTGAGATTAAGCTTTTTTCTTATAATTTGCTTTGGCATTAGTGCGTTTTAAATTAAAAACAAACAAACAAACAACACCAGTGCAAATAGATGTAGACTTTCTCGAGGGTAAGTGTATCTGGCTGGACTTTCACAGGTCTCAGTGGGTAACATTACTCTGCTGCATTCAACGGACAGCAGTACTCTGCTGTAATACTCCAGAATTATATAGGTCTCAGTAAAGGTCTATGCACTTGGTCACTTGGCCTTGACAGTGAATGCATCAGGCCTAATTAAACATGAAATATGGAATCATACAGATCAAAAAACACGAGACTGGTTATATGTGACCAGCATGCCATATTGACTTACAATGAAAGGTAGCTTCAACTCTCTAGTAGTATGGTATCAGATAATATAAATGTGCTTCATTATAATTGGTGGTTATATCATCAATAGGTTTTTCCATAGAAGTAGGCAAATAAACTGTGAGGTTCTAAAGTACTAAATATATGCATTTCCTAACTGGTATTCTGTGTATTTATTCATTTACGTGAAACATGTGCACCCACTGATCTCAGCTCTGCTTTGCGCTGTACATCTTCAGGATGAACAAAATGATGGTCTCAGCCCTCATGGAACTTACTATCTAACTTTTGTTCTGCTCTTTATAAACATAATCTTTATTTCCTAATAAAATATTGGGATAAAAAGCTGTAATATTTCCCAAACATGAAAGTTTAACAAATAATTTAAGATAATAGAAGGAAAAATCATCAAGGTAAGTACTTTTTTACTAAATTCTAGATAACATGGAAGCTATGAACAGGTATTGACCATGTCTCTTCTCTTTACTAAGCCATATTTCCAATGTTTCATCATCTTGATAATCATTAATAATGAGAATTGAATAAATATTAATAAATCTGGCTTTGAGAAAATATTTAGGTCTCTGGTTAATTTAACACATATGGAAAATAAATAAATGCAGAATTTTCAAATTCTACTTTCTAATTATATATTTGTGTGATTTTTTACATAGAAATCTTTCCTGCAAGACCACAAATTCTTGAGGTTCATTATTATATCTCATACAGTAGTCACTAAATAAAAAGTTCTGAATAACTGAATGGAAATGAATGAATAAATGAATGAATTAATTTTGCAAATCAGCTCAGAGTGCAGTTATTTTAACCTGCAATGATTACAATCAAGTTTTTCTTAATGATTTTAGGAACAAAATACTTTTCAAGCTCACTTTTAGCCAAGACCTTAAATAGTAAGATTCTGCTGATAATATTCAGTGAGATTTGAATTTAAGAGCATGCAAAAGTCATCATCTTACTTACTAGTTTCTTCTTTCTTCTCACCCTTTTATTATATCGCCAACTCCATCTTTTGTGCCTTTACTAAATATCATCTACTACTATTCCCTTCTAAAATGTTCAGCTCTAGTAGTGGTAGCATTATTTCTCCTGGACATATTTCCACCAATACTTAGCATTCCCTCTTTGTTTCATTTGCATGTTATAATACTATTGGTTAAATTAAAGCAGTCAGAGTTGTGAGGTAGAACCACAGTTAAACATAAAAAAGATTTTTAGTGTCAGCAGAATACCATTACTTAAAATTAAAAAAACTTAAAACTTCATTGTACATCTGAAGGTCACTGACTTTCAGAAGTAGGTAGCGAATTAGCAACTCCTTCTATATATTCATTATTGGGAAATGATAATATAAAATACCATGACTGATATAACAATGTTTTGAAGATTCATTGGTAGAACCATACAATTTGGTTTCTTAGTATTTACTCTAATTATGTCTATAAAATAAGAACTGGCGTGATACAGAAATTGAAAGTATACTTATTTGGAAATAAAACTGCATATTACACAGTGAGCAAAGCATAAAGTACCAAATATATCCCCAATTAAGTTCCATTAAATAAGTTTAATGCAAATCCCACCATTTTTGTAACACTCCTCTCAAATTCAACATTTATAGTAGCCATCTAGGTCTTGAAAGAAACGTAATTGAGAAGTGGAATATTGCAGGTATCAGTTATGCTTATGTCAAATCAAGCAAACAAACAAAAAACTCAAAACGATTCCTCTTTCTGCCTCCAGAACATTTATCAGAGTTCTAAGTTAATCACTTGAGGATTAGATTTTAATATTAGTATTAAGATATCAATAAAAGTTATAACTATTTTTCAAAAATATTTCCACCAAATAAAAATATTCATAGATACTTTATCCTCCTACAAAAGGATAATTCTACATGACTTTAGGCACGTTTACTAGATAAAAGTTTCTAATGTTTTAAATTAATGTGCCAGAATTAGAACAAGGACCTTTAAAATGGTTCTCGGTTCATCATTTTGGCTTTTTGGAGAATAGCTATGACATAGTATTAATCATTAGGGATCAATATGGATATCAGGCATTCATGAGAAATATGTTGTTGACTTTAATAAATCTTCAAGTGTGTAAATAAAAAATTATTTGTACAGGCAATTTTCTGCTGAATTACATTTCCTCTATGCACATTCTCATACCACAGTATATATTTTTAACAATTTATACTGAAGGTTTGATGTAATGGCAATCACATCTTTTAATTGCTTCACAATGCTTATTTTTATATCTAGTTATTTAATCATCATTATTATCATCATGACTAATCTGCATTGAAGTGTTTTGAAAATTTTTCACTGCTATAAATAATGTAATGAATAAAGCTTTTTGCTTAGAATAAATTCTCATAAGAGGAATTACTAGAGAAGCAGGTTTGAAAATATTTAGGGTAGTTGATAAATTCCATATTTTTGAAGGAGAGAGAAAATCTTCTGTGCTAGAAAGGTAAAAAGAATCAGCAACTAAACTGAATTCATATCCCTAATTTAAAATGACATGTAGCCCCCAATTTGACAATGGGTAATGTTGCAAAAGTTATATTTTAAGTGGTTTGTATTAGATTTAACATATATTTATTTAGCCATGGGAAGGTGTTACAAAGTTCTCAACTGCTCACAAAAGCAGATTTAACCTTTAATATAGCCGAAATATGCTAATAATAAATAATAGATCTCTCTGGATGCTTATAAGTGCTGATTTCCTTGAACCTTGTCTTTTACTCTTTCCTTCTCTCTGTTTTGGGTGTTTTGTGTGACTGTCACCACTCTGAACCCTTTGTAAATAAGATTCTATGCTCCCAAATATCTTCTACCTACTCAAGTACTGGGGCTTAAAGAAAGGAAAAGGGGTGGGAAACTGGAAGAAGGCTCCTAGGATGCTGAGTGGAGACTTCCAGGACTTCCTAAAATACTATGTAAGGAAGTCTGGAAAAGAGAGGAACAAAAGTTAGACTCTGATGAATCAATGTTCAAAAAAAAACTGCATCAAGAAAGAAAATTATATATTAAATCCAAGGAGCATGTTGTTGTCAAAGAAAGCATTTTTTGGTTTTATTATTTTTCTACAATATATAATATAATATATTTAGATAATTCAAATGATGTAAAAATTCAAATTAAAATTAATTAAATATATGTATTTATCTTCTAGAAACTACAAGTTGTTTCATTAGAAGAAAATCTACGTTTAGCTCGAGAGTATCAGAAATTACAGACGACTTTCTTAACAGAAAAAGACAATTATTTCAATCTATATGATAAACAGTTATCACTTGATGCTTCAATTAGAGATAAGAAACAGGTAGGTTTCCTTATTTTTTTAAGAAAATAATGATTTACTTGAAATTATATTCTAAAAAGTAGTAAATGTCCAGTCATTTGGTCTTCGATCTAATTGTGGTCCTTTATATGCCACCAAATAGCATGTTCTCTTTTTGTAACGTTTTTTGTATAATTTATTGACACTTTGAAATCTAATTTTTGAAAGGATATTTAAGAAATGAAAAAACTTAGTTTCTCATCCACTATTTTATACTAAGTTACTTTTAATTATTATGACCTGGAATACCAAATTTTATAGTTCATAGATTTGCATATTTAATCATAGACTTTAAATTTCAATTGTATTTACAGGTAACTTTCTATGAGATACCTCTAAATCTTCCTCATGATGTATGGGCTTCAAATTTTGGTTACTATTTTCTTATTAAATATTGGGCTTAATTAGAAATTTGGAGAAATAGTTGACCATCTCTGGTTGCTGGATATCACTGGGAATTCTAATGTATTTTGTAAAATCTGCAGTAATAAAAGTGGAAAAGTAAAACACACAATATACCAGAATAAAAAAGGAAGGAGAAAGCTTTATTACTAGAATATTCAGATGTACCCACTTCCTCTCTATTCTTCTCCAGGCACTCATGGACAAGGAAAATTATTTCCCTTTGAATCTGTGTTTCTTCCCAGAATTTAAATTTAAAAATAGAGGCATATCATTTTTTAACAATTCATCTAGCCATAAAAACCAGTAGACTGCTTATGGATCTTTTCTCCTGTCGTTGTCACCCAAATTACTGTACTATAAATTAGGAGCTTAGAATTCCAGTACAATATTTATCCCTCATTACTATGGAATATTAGGAAGACGGAAGGCCAACATTTGAGTGCAAGCTTTACCAATACTAGCTCAGTGATTTTGGCAAGTAATTAACCCTTTTCGACATCAGTTTTCTCATCTGTAGAATAAGATCTACCTCAGAATAATATTGATAAGGAATAAAACAGATACATCCATAGTTACTTTGAAAATAAAGGGATACTATGCAACTGTAAGTAACTATTACATTCATCTGGTATGCTGCTTTTAAACTCCCCTATGCTCTTCATCCATCTACTTTTTATGGGAGTTAATGCTTCTGAATATATTTGGAAAGAGAGTGTATATTTTTCTCTTAAAAATTTGTATTGAGGTTAGTAGCAAGATGATGGTAGATCAAGAAATAAATGTGTTTGGTAAAGAATCGAGAATACAACTATATAACAAAATCTTAGTGTCCTCAAACCATTGTGCAGGATTCAAAGAAATATAATATACATGTATATTAGGTATCTAATAGTGAAAAACTCATGCCTTTAATAGAGATTTCTACCATAGTATTTCCATAGTAAGAATGAAATTGTCTTGATGTCCTTTTTGGATTTAAAGCCAATTTGATTCACTATCCAAGAAATGGTACCCTGGTGTGAACAGACAGTAGGGTTTTATGTTTGTGACGATCCCTCACACGAATCACTTTCAGCACACCTGTTTCAGGGAAACTTTCAGAGATTTATTTGTACCTCCAATCATTTTTCATTTCCATCCTTCAGCGATGGAGGTCATTAAGTGCAGGCTGCCCTTGTCAGTGTCATGTAGGATCAATTTGCTGCAATGGACAGAGAGGCCTTATTGATGCTGTTAAATCTGTCAGTGAGAAATCGTATGTCATTAGCTTCTAATGCCCTGCTTACAGGATGGAATTTGGCCATCAAAACTCAGGAAACCCTTTAATATTTTAGTCTATTTCCTTGATATTGTAGCATTGCCTATATATATATATAGGTTTTTAGTCTTTTGACCAGTTTACTGTTAGGTACACAAAAGCACCATTCAGCCCCTGATTCCCTTATTGAATTCCCTTGTCAGATAAAAAGAATCTCACTTTTAGGAATTTTGAGTATCTCTTTCCTGTTTTAGAATAATTTCCGTGCTTTTAACATGCATTTCTTTTGGCATGTTAAATAATTATATTTTAATTACTGTGCTTCTCAGGGAGTGTTATTCGCACTATACAAATTATACATTTTTGTACTTCCCTGTTTTTAGGCCAAGAGTAACAAAGAAAGCTTATTAGAGGAGTAAAACAAATTAAATATAAAATGTAATAATGTTCTCTTTCTTAACACAATTTTATATACAGATGTCTCAAATGTTAAATGTTATAGTATGACTCTTGGTGATCAAACTATGCTTCTTTTGAATGTGTTTCTTGGTACTTTCTGGTACTTTAAAAATTTGCAGTGATACATGTTTCCCCCTTTAAAAATCAGAAACAAACAAAAAAATGATTGTGCAAAATTCTTATTTGCCTTGTTCATGGGTAATAATAGAATAGAATCCAGTCTAAAACTTCTCAGATCTCAAAATTTAGAATAACACTGAAGAGGAAAAAAATATCTGAAAACAGATTGTACATTAGTGTGAAAATAGACATTTTCATCATTTTAATTAAAAACTTTCAAAGGTACTTTTCATAATTTCTTTTTTAAAAATCTGTGAACATATTCATCAAATCACCATGTATTTGTTTTAACTGCTATATCAAGTTCTTCAGTCCTGCAAAGAAAGGTAAGCTAAATAAGTATACAAATGTTGATGTGTTCTGTTGACTGAAAACAAGATCCCTTCCAAAGCAGGTTAAAATATATCTTTATTTCTTTTGTAAACCACTTGTAAAGCTTAACTTTGCCTACTCCAATTCTTGGTACTTGCAAAATCGGGAATACAAATTATTACAGAATCAGTCAGTGCTTAACAAGCACTTATGTGAACCAAGTATCTCTGCTATGCAATTTATAAACATTATCTTTGTAATGTTCTTTGGTAATCTTGGGAAATTTTCCATCATCATCGTTTTATTATTATTATTATTATTATTATTATTAATCAGCAACAGCATCTCCAATACATGTTATGTAACTGAGATTGAGGGTGTCACAAGGTCATCCAAGTAGTGGGATACTGAGATGGGAATCAAACTCAGGACTTTCTTATATCCAACCTATTTCATAACCGTAACACTACCTCTCTACTATAACTTATTAAACAATCCTATACATGTCTTATCAGGTTTTATAAAGCACGTAAAAACCATATAAATTATGCTTTATGTCTCTAGTGTCCAACTGAATCAGATTCTTTGATTCACTAATTGTTTTTGTAATTTTATCTCACTGAAGCCATGATTTTCTGGTAGAAAGGACTACCTATTTAATTAGAAGCTATTTAATTTCCATAGGGATTATAGGTAGGTTTCACAACTCTAAAATTGTAAAGCTTTTGAACTAAGAGCTCCTTTAGAAATTTTACCTGTCTCTTTAAAAGTTTATTTTACAGATGAGGAACCTTGGGCCAGAGTGGCTCAGTGATTTATGGCATATACAGTTAATTAAAAGTTGGCCTAGGACACAGTTGTCTTAATTTAGTTTAAATATGCTCTCCAAAAGACTAGATGAGCATGTGCTGTGATATTTTTCAAAGGTTTGAGTAAGCCAATAGCTGAGAAGTATTAAGAGTAACTATTATGGATATGCTCAAATTGGAGCATATCTTTAAGCGACCTGGGCTTGTGAAGGACTCATGTAGGGACATGAATCAGGCGACTACTCTAGAGTTCTACAGGACACTTCTGGGCCTCACAGAATTCATACACAATTCATTTATTTAATTTTTGAGAAATTCTTAATCATCCATTGTACTGACAAAGATATGATAAAGGGTACAGCAATATGCCACCTCATCTCAGCTTCCATGTTAAAGTCTGTGATCCCCAGAGTCCAAGGGATTCTTCCCTGGAATAGAGCACAGAATCAGAGCCCAACAATATCCTCTCTTCACCTGACCAAGGAAAGAATCATGAATTTTTGCTATTTAATCTGCACCACTCAGGTCTCAATGTACACAGTTTCCATCTTAGATTCTCAAAAATATTGTATTATCCATAGATTTCATTTGTGCATTTTCTCTCTCCTCTTTCAGTTTCCAAACATGAATTTCCTTTAATACTCACTTTATATTGATTGATCTGGTGAGTCAAAGTAAATTCTAGCAATAAACAAAATTCTTTTCCTAAAGAACTATGAAAACTGTTTTAGTTTTCATTTATATGAGGATTTTTATAAGTATCGTATTGCTTGTTGTTGTCTTGCATATGTTAAAATTAGGATTCAAGTGGTGATTTTGTGTGCTTGTGTCAATATAGATAGAAATTTATTTCTTTGCTAGGAAAACCATAATTTTTAAAATAGTTTTTGCCTACGACAGCTACTTAAAGACCCTGTCAATATCTCTGCCTTTCTTTCTTAGCACACATACACATTCGTTCTAAAAGAGTTACCACACATCATAGACAGATAAGCTCCCATTAAATTACTACTGTCCTCTTTCTCTGGTGTACTTATATATAAATATTTACATGTAAATATATATATA